CCCCCCCCCATAATTAAAGGGGTTTATAGAAGGGGTATTTACAGTGGAGCCAATAGAAAACATCACAATAAAAATACAGAAGCAGCCAGCTCAGAGCTAAAGTGACACTGCTCTAAAGGAGGGACAAATTGGATACCCTCCAGATAAGATACTCCTCAGTCTAAGGATCCATTTCTACTCTACTTCTGTCTAGAAGGGGGCAGAAAAAGAAAAAGCCAATGGCACAGAGCTCCGTTATTGACCTTGCAGGGATGAGGGGTCTGTTTCAATTGCATTTCAGTTCCTGGGAGTTGAAATATTCCAAGTCTGCTACCTGGAGCACTAAGACACTTCCCCCAGTTAAGTGCCCTGTTTACTAATTCAGGCTTCAATCCTGGAGTAACTGGGGAGTTAAGTCAAGGCCACAGTCCACATAGCAGTGTCAGTCTTTGCAGGACAGGGGTCTGTCCAGCATGTACATTGTTTCACAATCATTTAAAAATCACATTTCAAATGAATTTCAGATTTTGATCATCAGCTAGGACCATCATGAGTGTGAAGTAACCCTAATTCCATGATGAATTCACACAGTGGCATCATTGGAAAGCCGAGCTACCGGTGGCAGGTGTCAGTCATGGGCTGACTGAACGGAGAGGCTCTCTATTCTGCAAGAGTTGTAGTCTTAACTCAGACACAGGCATCTGACTTAGCTAGATGTATCCATGGAGGGAGTCTCACCAAGGCAGAGCTGAGGCATTTGGTCCACTGACAGAAGCTTTTAATTTTAACCTACATATTAGGAGAGGCTTAAACAACTTTTTAAAGTGATGTTTTGGCCTGCCAGTTTGCTGTGTGGGGCAGTGCCCTTCCTGACTAAACAAATGTATAAATAATAAAGCAATTCAGTGACCAGAGTCAGATTGAAGTCTCTTTCCATTCCTCCCTTTGAGACTCACTGCTCCATTCCCCATATGCGAGACCTTCCTGATGTCATTGGTTGGGGTGATTTCCTACTGCACACAAAGCATTGCTTTTTGGGTATGGCAGCCAGGAGGGACCTGGCACAGGATAGTTGAGGCTGTAAATCGAAGTCTCAATTGACCTGTGACTGATTGTCCCGGGGTCTGCCTTGGATCAGAACAGGAGCAGCAGTCCATTACATGTGCCTCTTCCTTTGCCAGTAGGTGGCCAGCAAGAGGACGCAGCCCATTTGGCTTGTCCCGGGAATGGACTGCAATTATCAGACAACAGGATAGCCTTGGAAAAGTATTAGTATATTTTTCAGAGGGACTTGAAGCAGAACATTTGTATGATGCTGGGACAAAAGGTTTTCTCCCGGGACAAATGCAACATATTTTCATAGTCTATGAGTACCATAATCTTACTAGAAGAGGAAGTGGCTGACAGAGCTACCTTCAGGACCGGTAGGAAGAACTAGTAGGAACTGCATAAAGCACTCGGGAATCTCTCTAAAAAATGGGACTTTCAGCTTTTCTATAATATACAGTAGCTTTTTTTTTAGCATTTGTAGATCAGGAGGTATCATATTTGAGAAATCA